TTGTTTGGCTCATTCATGATCAGGAAGCTGGGAAATCTAAGCATGTTCTCTTTATCTACTTGATATAGTAGAAATACTGTATCTCCCAACCTGCTAGTTGTAAGATATGCTGAATTCATGTTCCTCAAAATCAAAAAGTGAATTCTAAGGAACAACAGAGGTTACAAGTAGGAAAAATTTATTGGGCAAGAGATAGCTCCTGAGAGACAAGAAGGGGCCCAAAAGTGGGTTGACACAGACCCCACTTCACAAAGGAAGTTTTATAGAACAAAATCATGAGGTGGGTACAACTTGGGCAAAAACTATGATCAATAAGATTACAAGTATAACCACTTACGCATTACAGATCAATGGGGAAGCAGGTCACATAGCAAGTGTCCAAAAACAAAGACCTTTTAAGGAAGGGATGGATCAGGAGGAAAGGTGTGATCAATTACACACCTGGGTGACCGATGTCTATCTAGATTTTATTGAACCAGGTGATACCAATTATAGTATAATCTTTAATTTGTTGCTTATCCCTCAGGAAACCATGTAGGCCTGGTCATTCCATCCTTATCTTGAGACCTGGCCTTTGACACAATCACCTGCAGCCACAATTGTGATGTGTTCTCATCCTCTGCACTGACTCCCTCGAGGACCTAGCCCTGTCTGACTTCCTAGAATATTTCTACTGAGCTTAGCTGCCTATAATACCTGGATTCTGGTGCGGGCCCCCTTTGTGTATCATAACATGGTAAAGGTCTCACGTGGCAAGACAGAGCAAGTATGCTGGCTCAAATCTCTCTTCCTCTGCTCATGCTATCATGCGGATCCCATCCCCATGCCCTCTCCTGTACCTAATTGACTCCCAAAGGCCTCACCTCCAAATACTGTTGACATGAATTTTGGGAAATTAAGTTTCTAACATATGAAATTCTGAGGATACATTCAAGTCGTAGCGTATAGAGAAGTTGATTTCCTGAGAAATCATGAAGGAGAGTCCTAGTGGGTTTGTTGTTGTTGTTGTTGTTGTTGTTTTTTGTACAGTGTATTGAGCTGTACTGAATTGTCTAAGCTCAAAGAAGCATTATTTGTATTATTTGTGTTTCCATTGAATATGTCAAGAGATCTGGTAAATAGGAAGACTTGAAAAGGGGAGGCAAAAGTTGTTCATGTAGGGTTGCCCTGAAAGTGTAGCAGCAGGTATGTCCAGCTCTTAATAAAGTTCTTCTCACAAGTTTCCATGTGGTTCTAATTGTGTGGCTCTGTCTGCAAAATGTCAGTCTCACAAAACTCTCAAGTATGTAGGCAACTGATCACCATGAATTTTTGTTAACAGTAGAATATATAATGCCTAGTTTATGGAAAATTAATGTTAGTTTAAGAGTCATGTGGATAAAAAGTTGCTGTGAGCTATTCACAATTTCTTTATTTTTATTTTATATACAATTCATTAAAATGACATTAATCCCTCTGGCTCTTCCTTGGTGTCTATTAAGGCATAGGATGGGAATCTCTGTGTAACCACATCAATTATTTCATAGACCTGTTTGTTCATTGCAAGTAGATTGTTGTTACAGATGCATTGTACCTGATGATAAATGAGAGAAAATGGAGCCCAGGTTCCAAACACCCACCTCTTGAAAGATGTGCTTGCTTTTTAATATCAGCCTTCTACCAACTGGGAGTTTAAGATTCAGATCTCAGGTTTAATATCAACATCTGCCTCCTGCTGAGTTCATGGTACAATTAGCTAATTAAAAAGAGATAACATTTTCACCTTGGAGTCAGAAGAAGAGCAATAAACCACAAGCCCAGGATTTAGTTAATTTGCACATTGACTATAATTGTGTATTTAAAGCTAAGATTAATTTTTTTCCCTGATGAGTGGGAGCCTGGTACTATGCATTGGAACTCTTAAATCAGTTGTAATCATTCCATAGGGAGGTTAATAAGGGCAGAGAGTTCTCCAGATCTGTTAATGAGGATAAGTACTTATTTACATATGGTAACTTCTTTTAGGGAGAAAAGAAAAACCATTAAAACCCCCTTCTGATAAACTATTAAGTTTAAAGGATAATTTTCAAACATTCAAACTAAATAAATTATTTTAAATGTATTTCTGAAATAAAAACCATTGACTGTCAAAATGTGAAGTCATGCTCAGTTTTTTGTTTTTGTTTCACCAAGTAGGGTGTTAATGAATACCAGTTCTGCTATTTATTTTTTTGTTTTGTTTTTGTTTTTGGTACCGGGGATCGAACTCAGGTCCTTGCGCTTGTGAGGCAGGCCACCGAACCGCTGAGGTAAATCCCTGGCCCCAGTTCTGCTATTTATTTTTTTGTTTTGTTTTTGTTTTTGGTACCGGGGATCGAACTCAGGTCCTTGCGCTTGTGAGGCAGGCCACCGAACCGCTGAGGTAAATCCCTGGCCCCAGTTCTGCTATTTAAACTTCAGTATATTTTTCTAGCTCAGCTGAATTTCAAGACTTATTCCCTTGCATTTTTTTAAAGAGAGTAGAGAAAGGATACATATTGGCAGGAAAGTTTTTAGGGGGAAAGGGGAGAAAAACTATATATTCCTGACTTGTAGTCTGCTACTTATGATGTTACCTTTTGAAAAGTAAGTGCTATATTGTGGACACCCAAACACTGATTGTTGGTAATTGAAGTGGGTGTGATTGACACGTCTTAAAAGCAATAGAGCTGGCTTGGAATTTAGCTCAGTGGTTCCACTACCTGCCTCATAAGCACAAGGTCCTGAATTCAATCCCCAGTACAAAAAAAAAAAAAAGCAAAAAAGCAATAGAGCTATTATTCCTTGAAGAAAGAAAAAAATTCTTAAGTATTGTCATGTAGACACTGCATTTTTACCTAAGTGGGGGATCTTTCACTCTCTCTGTTAATAGAGTGAGTGCATGAGTGCCATCCCTTGTTTGAGGGTCCTTTTGCTGCCTCTTTTGACCCTGCCTTGTATGAGAATCTATAAGCCCAGGGTTTTTGTGGACCTATCTCTCTGTTGCTTTCATCTTGCCATCTCTGAAGATGACTCAAAGAGGGGGGTAGCATTTGCTCTTTGTTTTTATATTGGGGATCAAACTTAGGACCTTGTGCTTGCTAAACAGGCAGCGGCACCACTGAGCTAAATCCCCAGCCCCTATTTGCTTCTTAAATTCTGATTTGTTACTGAGAAACTTTGAAAGATGGAGAAATAAAACTCTATACAATTTATAGAGATCCCTATGCCCAACCTCTCCTTTCAGAAGTTTGTAAGTTTGGCGTGAAGGAGTTCTGGGGAAGTTTTAAGCCTGTCCATGTTATCCATTGCTCAAAATATATTAGCATTAACAGAGCTGGTCTAGGGAGCGATCATTTTTACATAGGTTTGAAGAATAAAGTTAATGTTGAATCTGTACTTGAGTCAATTAAATATAATATGCAGTTAGGAAAAGAGTTGTTTTTTTTTTTTTCTGGGTGCCAAAAAAGATTAATTCTACCAAGGTGGTAGAGAAAGAAGCCTTAAAAGGCAGACCTGACATGGTTTGATGCTTGTGTCATTTTGGTTTTGGCCAACAAGTTTAACCCTGAGCATGCTCCATTATGTACTCTGTTATTTTAGGAAAATGCACTTTATGTTCAGGGAAATAATATTTCCATTGTCCTTAGAATCTTTGAAATGTAGAGGAAATGATAAGATAAGAGGAGAATGAAACTTTGATGGGAAGTGGGCTGTATGACTTTACATACGCACGTCAGAGGTTGATTAAAGAAAAGACTAGTATATGACATGTGCTTTTGTGGGGGAATGTTCGTCAAGTGTTTTTGTCATTAGATTTTTAGTTAAAACACAGTGCCGTTAAACACTGTCCCTCTCCCTTTTCTGACCATTTCGTCACCATCCCACGCCACCCCACCGTCACCTCCCCACTTCTTGTTCATTCCGCATCTTCCATTCACTGTCAGGAAGGGCAGCCTCCGAAGAGCCATTTCAACTCCGCCCGGCATCGCCAGAGACTAGTGGACCCAGCTGCTTCAAAAGTGAGTGTATCCTGTTGCCCTGGGTGGCGGCGGGTGAGCATGGCAGTGTGATTCCTCTGCAGTAAACGGGCGGCGGGGTGTGTCTCTGCTGATGCATGTGAAGGCTTTAGGATGTGGATACAGGGAAGGGGAAAAGTTACCTCTATTAATACAAGACAGTGGATACCAGTGTTATTCTTGTAAACATCTGGCAACCAGCCTCGGAAACAAAAGAAAGCCTGATTTGTAGCATTTGCTGGGATCCGTGGTTTATGCATTCCTACCATGGCCCATTTCAGCTCCCTGTGTGACATCATTGGATGCAGAGAGCTCTGAGGAGTGCCCTGAAGAACATTAAGTTATGCTGTGTTACGTATGGCCTCTACCATTAGGTTCAGCTGATTAGGTTCTTCTAATATGTGGCAGAAGAATTAGGAGATGAAAGTGTTGAGTATCTGTTGTCCTTGTTTTTAATATGTTTACTTTTAAATTTCAGCATTCTAAGTTGATTTACAGTGATTATTTTTTACCATGGGCTTGTAAAATTCCTGGAAATTTACTGACGTGGTAGGGGGCAGCTCCAGTGTGCTGGTCATTACATGCGTGTTGAGAATATTCTTAAGTCCATTTGGTCATGCTGAACTCACTAAAAGATACTAGTAGCCATGGGAGAGTGACCTAGGCATATGGGTAAGGATTTGGTAGACCTAAACACCTCAAGTAGTCTCAGGCTAATTCTGTTTCCTATCAGCTTTTATTAAACACATATTTATTAGTTAGCAGAATAAACATGATTCAGAACAAATTCATGAACCTTGTCCTATACACTCAATATCCCAGTTCTCTTTTTTTTCTACTTCAGGTCAGTGTCACAACTTTCCAGAGTCTGTGCAGTGGGCTTTGAGCCACAGAAATCCTCTGGCTGGCTTGCTAGACATATGGCAATTGAACCTTGAGTGCCAGTCCTAGGGAAGAAAGTGGAAGAAGAGCCTCCTTGATTCCATGTCCTGTTCATGGGAGAATGTCCCTAAAATGATTTTGCCAGTTCACATATCTTAAATGTCACTAATTTCAAAAACGAGAGCCTATTTTTAATATCTACCATGGAACTAACAAGCTACTATTTTTTTCTTCATCACCATACCATTGGGGGATGCCAATGAACAAAAGTCTCTGGTGTTGCCTAAGATGCAGGTACTTCTGATACAATGCTAGTCACAATCTTGGGTGAGTAATTCCTAGTGAGAGCTTGTGACTATGTATAGGTTATAGTTTTAATCCATACTACATTGCCTGTACTCAGGTATTGAAAAGTAAGCTACAGATGTCATAGCCCTTTGTCACATTATCAAGTGCCTCAGGTATCTCTCCCCCCGCCCCCTAATCCCAGACAACTCTAGAGGCTTTGAGATGAAGTCATGCAACCTTTGTTACTGTGCCTGGGAAGGAAATAAATAAGCTTTGAATAAATCAGGTGATTTTCTCCTGTAAGATGTGACTTTTGCTAAAGTACAGCATAGCTCAGAGGATAACAGGCCTTTCTTGGACCCACCTGTGAAGTGTAACTAATGAAGCCCGAAACTAATGTATGAATTATGAACATCCACTATTATACAGCACACACCTCTTGGTCTGTGGTGTTTTAACATGCAACTCAGCACATGCTTTTGATTTACTCCCTCCTACTCTTTAGTCCTCTGTTTATTTCATTGTCTTGACATTTTCAGAAATACCATACCTTGACATGCAGTGTGTTATATAGTACACTATAAAGAAGCTCATTTTCTTCTCTTAGTGGTTAGAGGATTTTTTTGGTTATTTCATTTTGTTTTGAGCAAGAATCATGGCTGCTTTTTCTGTACAAACTTTCAGAGGATCTCATTAAAGTGCTGCAGAGAAGATGCCCAGTGCTCCTGGGAGTAACCAAAAGCCATATTGCCAAAAGTCTTAAAAGGTCAGATCTTTTCCTTTCCAAAATACTACAGAAGTGGAAATTTAAGAAGCACCTAAAAATCTTTTCTAATATTAAGGGGTAATGGAAGAAGCCACTGTTTGCTGTGCAGGCGCATTACTTGGACAATAAATGGCAAATGGAAATGTGCATCTGTGGAGCCAGTGACCTTTCATTTACAAGCACACTTGGCTTGGAATCTGCACTGTGTCATTTTCAACTCATTGTAAAGAATTCTTACAAATTACAGGTTTCCATGTTGTAGGGGTCAGTAATAATTTATGGTAAATGAGCTGCCAAATCTTTGGTGAACCTTGATTTCCTTGTGAATCTGTACCGCGCAGTCTCGGGGAAGTGTGGTTAGGTAGAAACATTCAGCTCACGAGTAACGGGGTGTGGTGCAGAGAATCTCCTGGTCTGGGTTGCACATTAGCTTTGCCCTGCACCAGCCCTGTACAGCCTTGCGTATGTAGTGAGTCAACACTGAGTCCTCGTTGCTCTAGCTTTTGTCATCGACCAAATGACGAGAGTATATGAAAAGTTCTCTTAATGAAATTTTGGAATTGTTTTCCTTTTCTGTCAAGGCTATTTATTTAAAACTAGACACATTACCATTTAGTCTGAGATTTTTGAGTGGCATTTCTCAATCCTAAAATCCCTCTATAAATGTCATCATTTTTCATCACTTGCAAAGCCTTATTAGGTAGTCTTCTACAAGTGTCTTCACTGCAAGTTAATTTTTAAAACAAACTATAAAGTGATGGGGGAAAATATAGACCTGACATAAGTGGATCATTTTCTTCTTAAGGAGTTGGCTATTTTTTAGCCTCAGTTTTTGCTTTGCCTTAAAAAACCTTTTGTTCTTTGAGTATGGGCAAACAGCCTTTAAATCTGTTTTATTTGAATAAGATTGAAGGGTGAGGGGGAGATCAAAGATAAGTAATACTCCTCTGATTTGCTAAGCTTGTCCACTGGGAATGTCTAAAGTGTCTTTCACTTTGAGAATATGCTCACCTGCCTGTCCCCCCAGTAGGAATGCTGTTAACACAGCAAATGAACAAAGAATGAGGCGAAGCGGGCAGTAGGAATAATAGTTCAAAGACCACAGAGCTGTTATTTGTGGAGCTGGTAAAGGCCTCTGTTAAATAAAAATCAGTTTGATATGGGAGCATCAGGGACATGATCTGGTGGACAGAAGAGAACACGGGAGTGTACTGAGGATTAGTTTTCAAATCTCCTGGCATTTCAGCACAAAAGGATGATGAAGATTTATTCCCCATGAGCTGTCATTTTATACTAGAAGCTTTGTTGATCCGGAATAAATAGGTTCATAAAGATTGTATTGAAATTTTGAGCATACAAGAACAAATAGTGGTAGGCATAGCATTTAGTAAATTTCAAAACCAGAAAGTGTTGTAACACTCTATTCTTCTTTTTTAAAAAAATCCCAATACATAGATAATCCAGCTACCCAAACTGCCTATTGTTGTAAGATACATTGTTTCAATCTGCTGTAGGGCTTGAAAATCTTTTATTCTTATTCTGAGCAATTTCTCTCCCTTTCTCTAATGAGAATGAGGTGTATAAAATTTGGTCTCCCCTGATGGGAAAACCAGTGCAAAGCTCTCTCAGAGCAGATGGTCTTCTGTTCTCATTACTATAAACCATTTAGGATTGATCTTTTTCATTTTTACCTATCTGAAGAGTGAAAATGTCTTTGAGACCTTAGAAACCCACTGTGAAGAGAGAACAAGAACCTGCCTGGACCAGAGTTCATAGTTACATAGATGGTATAAAATAAAGGCAATGGAAAATCATGCAATTGTGTTTCTATCATATTGAAAAAAAATAGGTTGTTTTTTTTTAAGCACTGAAGGAATAAGCTTTGCATTATCTATAGTTTTGAGGCATATTATGCATGGAGTTTCTGGATGGTAATTAACACCTTCTTAGTCCCAGGAATTTTAAGTGTTAAAGAATGATTTCTTTTTTTTTAGGATGTAATACTTGTTACTATATTTAAGGACATAGAAAGATAGGAAAGAGATTAGAAGATTGGTTGCCGCAATCATTTTGGAAGTATTTTAGTCACATAAAATGTTGCACTGTGTAAATTTTTTTATAAAGGGCTTCAGGTATCATAAATTCCTAGAGAGATCCTCAAGGCAGCTCATATTTTTGTTTTTATATCAATCATGTGTAAATTGTCATTGACCCCAACTAAAATGAACATGAATTTCACTTCTGAGACTTATTAGCTGTAGCCTTGAGCCAATTACTTAAGGACTTTGAGAAAACCTCAGTTTTCTCATCTACAAAATGGGGACCAAGATAGCAATTTCAGCAGACTGAAAATTCATTGAAATAGTACATGGAAATTTTTTGCTACATGGTCAGATACTTAAAGAGTGCCAAATTGTAAAACAAACAAAACATTTAAATTATGATTGCTGGTATTAGAATTATCAGGTAACTATTTATTTGATTTTTCTGGGGCTTTCTCCGGGTTTTGTGAAATAAGAAGTTAGGACTGGATGATTTGTTAGGTTTAATGTCTTCATTGGTAAGTCTATAGGGAAGGGCCTCAGGATTTAAAAAAAGAAAAAATAATGGAGATGTACTATGTACATGTACTAACTTCCTACCGCAATTGTCATCATTATTAATTGCAAACATATACTAATAAGGGTCTGAAAAAAAGTCTATAATTGTACTTATTTTTGAATGGCTACTGTACATTCACTAGTGTATTAGACATAAAGGATATAAGTTGTAGGATTTTATTCCTGACTATCAACAATGTAACTTAGTTGGTAAACAAAGCACAGACAGAAACAAACTGAATGATAAATGGTATCAATATGGTGCTGATTTCCAGTAGAGGGAGATCTGTGAGTAGCAGTCAGAAAATAATTCCTGATAGTGATGGTTTTTCATCTGGGCCTTAAAGGCAAGTTAAAATTTTTTACGCAGCATGATTGTGGGCATACATATTCTACAAATATATGCAGCTATTGACCAGGTATTGGCCATATCATAATTATTAGCCAGACCAGAATGGAGGGGTCGT